GATAAAGCTTGTTTTTGTAAGATTACTAGGTTTAAGTGGATTTAAAATTGGAGAGAGACTTAAGGACTAGATAGAATTGTTGAGTAGTAACTTTAAAACTATTTTGAGTAACTCTGAGAGCTATTCAAATTACTTTATAACTATTTAAAGCAACTTATAAATTAAAAATGAACATAAGGAATAAATTATAACTAAATGAGATTTATTTTAAATTATTTGTGGATAAAAATTTAACTTATTAGATGCTTAGGACTTATAAAACATGCTCACAGGCACTTCAAAGTTCAAAAGTAACAATTAACATAACTTAAAATTGTTTTGGGAAGTCTTTGAGATAAATTGAAGAGCTTCAAGGTAAAAAAAAACTTTAAATTAAATTAATAGAATTTTTTTTTTGGGTAGTTTTAGAGTTACATATAGCTCCCAAGAGTATTTTGGGGACAACCTTAGAATAAAAAATAAATTAAATTAAATTTGATTTGATTTTAATTTCTCCAATTTTTTGTTGGTGGAGGTGTTAGAAGTTTTATAAGGAACTTCTTAATTTTACTTTGACGTTTGAGATAGTTGGAGGATCTTTTATTGAGAGACCTCAGGTTTTTTAAGTGAACTCAAGCCTAAGTAATTTCTTTTCAGGTTACCTTGTATGCTAGTGTGGATAAATAACTAAATATTTTATTATATACTAATATTGAATTGAACCTAAATAGCATGCCTATGATAACATTTGCGAAAACTTGGCCCAGTGGTTAACAAAGTAAATTTTTAGGAATTATTTTTTTTAAAGCTATGGTTAGTGAAAAACCTCTACATGTTTGGAATTTTTAGGACTAGATAGACTCATGTTGATCATAATTTGTTTGATTGGAATTTGATCAAGTTGTTTGAACAGATATAATATATTAAGATTGATAATGTCTATATAATGATAAATGTTAAAAATTTTGAGAAATACTTATGAAAATTGTGATTTGACATGGAATATATTGGAACTGTGTTGTTATGAAAGGCCTGAAGGTTATGAATTTAAAATAAGAAAATAAGGTTAGATCGTGATCATGTACTCACCCCTATATTGTGTGCACTAAGTGGCTTTGATATGTACTTGAGGCACTCGATTCCTTTAACCAGGGTTGGAATGAAATCGATACCATTTGGGTACCCCTTATGATCAAAAGGGGGAGATCGAGGCTTGATTAGGACTGATATGGCCTTTAGCTAGGCACCATCCCCTATCACCTAGAATCTCAATATAACGAAATAAGAAGGAGATAAGGTGGAATAAAAAATGATAAAAATATGTAACTACTAATTGAAAGGAATTTTCAAGGTATTATTTAGTTTGATATGTAAATCAATGTAATTATAGTTTGTTATTTGAATATTGACTTTGTTATGTTATTTCCTTGAGTTGTATATTTTAGACTGACTAGCATGCTTGTGTTTTTTAATTCAATTATGAAGATGTTTTTATTTCATTTTAAGCATGCTAGCTTCCCAAATGATGGATTAAACTTCTTTTAGCATGCTTGTTTGAAAGTTGATTGTAAAAATTCACTAGATCAAGTTATTTATCGACCTAAGATATACTATAACCTTTAAAAAGATTACTGAGACATTGTCTTATCTTTATTTTAAATACTATAAGAATAGTTAGTGAAGCTTAGGCAAGGGAATAGGTAGGGAACACCAGCTCCTTGAGGTATTGCTCGGAGACTAGCCTTGCTGCCACACCATAGGAATAGTTGCATTTACTTAATCATTTGTTCAATACTTTTACTTTTGTTTTACTTCAAAATGTATATTGTTTTAATCTTTGGGCCTCGAGTTGAAGAGATTTGACCAAAGGTCATAAATTATATCATTTTTTCTTTATTTATTTATTTATAGTTGTTATTTTGTGACATAAATGTGTGCTAGATTGTGTGTTAGGAAATTTGCATGTGCGCATATGTTTGATATATGTATATGTTGGAAAAAGAGAACTTTTAACATGTCCTGCTTGAATGCTGCTTGAAGACCTTTTTCTGCCATAATAAAAACTCATGCTAGTTAATTAGGCTTGCTCAAAATATCATGGTAGAAGTAAGGGTAGTTCTTGTTCTACTATGATAGTTAGGTTGTTCCTTTTCTACCATGATAGGTGAATCTTTTACTATCATGGTAGGATATGATTAAGTATGAATTTTGCGTTGGGGTTGTTTCAATCAGAATTCCTCCTTCGTCCATTAGCATCGCTCTCGCCTCTGGCACCAATGCCAGTACGCTAAGCACGTACGCTGACTTGTCCGCCATGTTTGATTAGAGGTGTTCACGGGACGGGACGGGACCGGGACACCCCCGTCCCGTGTCCCGTCCCGAAAAAAAGATCGGGACTGAATTTTGGTCCCGTGTCCCGTCCCGTCCCGTTAAGAGTCGGGACGGGACCAGGACAAAATCGGGACGTCCCGCCGTCCCGATAAATGAAATAATATCGAAAAAAGATTTGGATAATAATGTTCATTAAAATTTTAAATTATATAATTTATTAAGTTTAAAATTAAAATAACACAAGTACATAAATAACAATAATTTAAAATCAATTATTGAATTATTTTAATCACAACTACATATTATAATAAAAAATACAAGTAATCTTTATGCTATAAAATTAGCAACAACAGGCAAGTCAAATACAACATCAAATAATTGTTCTTCTACTTTAGTGAAGATATACTAAGCTAATGACTCTTCTAAAAATAAGCAAGAAGTATGTTATAAATAAAAGTTATTAAATAGATAGATATAAGAATAAATTATATTAATATAATTAATATATTATAAAAAAGATATCGCCATGTTTACTCCATACCATTAAAATTATCAATATAAAAATACTTTAGTTTTAAATAAGAATTGTAAGTATTAAAATTATAATTGATATAATTAATATAAGTATAAATTATATTAATATAATTAATATATTTAAAATAAAAAATAATATATATAATATTCGGGACGGGACGGGACGGGACGTCCCGATGGTAATCCCGTGTCCCGTCCCGTCCCGAACCCCTTTCCTGTCCCGTCCCGTAAAGTCCCGTCCCGATTATTTTCGGGCCTGGACAAGACCCGTCCCGATATGATCGGGACGATACCGGGCCAATCGGGACGGGTTCAGATTGAACACCCCTATGTTTGATATAAAACCTGCCATTAGTTGCATTTGCAGCTTCATTATTTCGGCCTACACCACCCTTATTTTGTTGTCCTTTACTAAACAAAGGGTGTACATCACTGTCAAGGCATCCTTCACCAGCTCCTATGTTTGTTCTGCCAACACCATTCTCAGCCTCCTCCATCTCCAACGCCATTCAAACGCTGACGTGAGGCTTTATGGCAATCTCCTTCTCCATGGGTAGGTGTTTTTGTCCAATACGAATCCCTCCCCTCATGAACAATTTCTATCAAATCTTATTGGGAATATGAACCCTTTTTTGTTCGTTTTCTAATGATGCTAATGGAGACAAATTCCTTCCTGCCAGTGACAATATTACTTCAATTTTCCCATTCATCCCTTGTGGATCCTTCTTCTTCCTAAGAATTGAATGAACCAACTTTGAAGAAGAGGAATTTCAATGAGATGGTATGAATTTAGAGAAGAATAGAAAGAACAAGAAAAAGGAGCAGGGGTGATTTTTTTAAAATTTTTCAGAGGAGCTTTGGCAATTTTAAGGTGGTTTTCTGGCTTGTTCTTGGCCAGTAGTCTAATTTCCATGATGGCTTGTTTCTAGTTGTCAATCGAAGAGGACTGAAGATCATTCACTAGTTAAGCTATAAAATCGTTGGAATTGTCGGACGCTCAGGCAATCAGGAGGTGTCGGCTTTGGGAAGAAACTGTCAGAGTTTTGCAACTTTAAGGGGATATTTTTGTCATTTCATCAAAATTTTAGTGACAATTAGGTGTCTTGGACTTGAGAGACATTATCACATTTTGCATGATTAAATTGTAATTTTTCTATTTCAAAGGAATTTATTTGTCATTTTTTCTAAATATAATGATCGGTTGGAAGAAGGCAGGTAATTTGAAGGTGGAGAATGTGGGATTTGGGATGGAATGGTTGGAATGCAGGAAAAGGGAGAATGGAAAGATCCGTGGACGTCTCCGTCATGTATGGCCTATCCGCCCTCGCATAGTCGCATTTTAGTAATTCCTGAAGCACGATTCTCTGTCTCGTAAAGCAGCAGAACCCAACAAAAAAGTCCCTGCTTCTCATGAACATATCACTGATAATGATCACCCTCCTCTTCTCACCCATTAATCAATAGTCATCCCATCTTTCCCTCATCCCTATCATTCCTTTTCCTTCTTCACTCACCCCCGTGTCATACATTACCTCTCTCCCATTTTCTTCGACTCGTGCGGTCCCACCTTTTGATTTGTACTTTGTGCTCGTCTTTTTCTGTTATTACACATTCTTTCCATCATCTACTTACTTGGTTGATTAGCTCCGGAGAGACTAGAGCCTTCCACGCATTTTCTTCGGTCACGGAAACAGTAATTAATTATATCACCGGCCGACTCTGCCTCCAAATATGCAGTCAAAGAAATTAAAGAAACCTCATGCCTTTGAAGAAAGCAAAACAAGCAGTATCGTTCATTTCGATGGTTTTGATTTAATTGCTTTCCCGAATTTCGGATCCCTTTTCGATTCATAAAACGCGAGTGCGACTGCAAGTAGAGCCCCACCGCCGGCATATTTTGACCATGCAACTATAAACTGTACTCTTCTGCTTCTGTCATCGTTTCCTGAACTGTAGGGAACTTTACATTCACGCGAAGAAGCAGAGTGAAGACTCCCGCATTAACTCGCACCTCTCTCACTTCATCTGACACTATTAATCCGTCGCTCTCCCTACATCCTACATGACTTGTTGTGATGATTCTTAAGATCAAACGCTTGACGTGTATCAAGTCAAAATATAATACAGAATTAAAGATTGGTTAAACACTACTAGAGTTAGCAGAGACGAGCCAACAACATTTGAATTGTCGCTTTAAATTAAAGCTACAGAAACATGAGGAAGATGATTTCTTCAGCGCTCCAACACAGAGAAATAGCTAGGAGCTTCACCAATATTACATGACAAACATTAAAACTGACGAGTCATCAAACTCGATTGGAATTGTACGAGCACAGATGCTGGAAGGTGTTTCCAGCTGCAATATACATGTAAAAGGATAACAGGAGGTGAAGAAGTAATTATGTGAGTCGCTCATATGCCAACCATGGGCGTAGACGAGGATGAGGAAAAGGATGTTGGAGATGGCCAGAGCTGTGCATTCTTCACCTTGGAGACACTAGCCAGGGCGCCCAATGGCGTCACGTCTCCTACAATTGTTACTTTCTTCTTCTCCATCTCTATGCTGAATGATGTCACTCCTGCGTATAATTCATCACCAGAACATAAATCTCTGACGCACTTAATATAATTTCATAGACCGAGAATTCCTCGACAAAATCTGACCTTGCATTCTTGAAATGTGTTTTCCAACTTTCGCTGCACAGCCCTTGCAATGCAATGACACCCTCAAAACCACGACCTATAAAATTACAAACACAAGATGACACGGTAGACCTTGCTTATCCAGGAATATACACTTGATTCATCAGTACTTCACCTGGTTCCGAGAGCGAGGCGAAGAAGAAGGGCGCAGAGCAGGAGAGTGATCGTTGTGGATGAAAGAGGGATCAGAGCCAGCAAGGAGGCGCGTTGTGGAAGAAGAAAGGCTACAGTGAGTAAATAGGTCGTGGGTTTGCTTGCCTGCATAACTCTTTCTGTGCTTCTCGTAAGAAGGCTTTGGGTTAGTGGGGAAAAGGGATGAACGCGAGCAGGGCGCTCGAGCAAGGAGGCCGTAGCTTTTGGGGGTACGGCGTACCCTAGAACGATGGACGTGCGTACTGGGGATTACAGCAGTGGAGGCAGAGGAGGAACAGAACAAGTCCATTCCTTTCATGGTTGTGAGTGGACAGTCACAAGACTGAGTTGGAACCTATGGCTGTTAATTATATGTAGTCGCTGAGCTGATAAGAGGCCTCGTGAACTGTGGCCGTTTAGTTTTATATCTCCCATGCACTCATTTAAAATCAAGAGTTGGAGTTTATTTTCGATATACTTCCAGTACTGACCAGTGATTCAAAAGTATATTATCATTTATATGTATTTTATTATATTATTTAATTTTAAATCATGATTAAGTAAATATTTTGGAATTGAGATGACTTTTTGAAAATATGATTATGCAGCTTTTCAATTAATATTATAGACAAAATTGAGAGGGATTCGGATCTCAAAACGTGGGGAGGAAAAAGATAGAGTAAGAGATAACGATAATGCATGAGGTCCCAGTGGCACGTTTGGGTGATGATACCTTGGAAGGTGTGAGATTAATCTGGATTCTCATGGGAATTTCTTCACTGTGGCGGGACTTAAGAAGCCGTGCCAATGCTTTCCGTGACCTGGAAAGCAAAGCTTTTCCGGGAGACCAACAACCTTCTATTATTGAAGCATGATTGTTTTACATATTGGACTCTGTTGCACAATTTGGTGGGCTCCTCCAATTTCATACACTAGGATACCACTTTAATTTCTTCATGCTCTGGAAATCTGGACTCAAATCCAAATTACATGACAAGTATTTTCGTCGCGGTGGATGTAGGATGTCTCTCACTATTAACGAGGCACTCTGTATGGGGTATTTTGCAACTTCCTTTAAAACATGCACGTAATTTTTTTTCCTGGGAAGACATCGAGTCCATTTAAATACTTGCGTTCTCGATCCCATTGCAATATCAACCATGTTTTGGTGACATGCCCACCATTTGCTAGCATTATGGAGTTATTTTCGCATGACCTGCTCGAATTAAGTTATCTGTTTAAGCAGAGTTTGGATCTTCCGAGGGAAGCAGTGATGGATAATGGTATACATATTATCCATCTCATAATAACGCGCGCCCGCGCACGTGTACATTAATAGGTTATTAATACAACGAGTCTTACACGACATTATTATTGTTTTGTTTTTAAGATCTCACAATAAAAATTGGAAGTTATAATTAACTTAAGAGTGAACATTAGTCACTAATCTATGTTTAAATATTATATTTTCCTTTTGATAAAGACATATAGTTGTAAACATGAAACAGTGCAACTTTCAATTTATGTTGAATTATTTGTAAGTGTGTGTGACTATGCATGCAGGGAGAATGACATTTGAGTTCTTTTAAGAGAATTTATCACTACAATAAAAACATATCAATTTTATATTAAATATTATTTTATAAAAACACGTATATATTGTTGAAAGTTAAACCTTAACTTATATTTTTTGTTAGTATTTTTTTAAAAATTTAATAAGTTAAGATTCAGATTTCAATAATTTTACATGTTTTTACAGGATGACATTTGATATAAAATTGATGGGCCCTTAATTATAGCAAAAAAAAATTTTACGTGGGTCTTAAATATCATTATCCTATGTATGCATGCATATTCAAATTAATACTTACTAGATTGAATATAGTGATCGAGAAGTGGAAGATTAAAGTCTAGGATGACCAGTCAAGAGAAGGCAAAAACAAAGCAACAACGGTCGAAAAGTTCGAAGTATATTCAAAAGATGATGAAAAATGAATTTGATGATGTGGGGAATAATTATTTAAAAGCATGATGATTATAATTATTGGGTCAGGTGATCATTAATAGATCAATGCACCATCCATGTCTAAATAAACTGGCCACTTGCTCAGCTACCTACCATTTTGACACAATTAAAAAAATTGCGTGTTCATGCAATAAAGAAAGCGATCCGTTGTTCCCACACGAGAAGAAAAGGTAAAGATCTCATCATGATCTTACCAGATTATTTCATTACGGTGAATTTGGTTCTCCCTCGGTTTTCAAACACTCTACAAGAAAAATTAACATGTATCTCTTTGTTTTCATTTATAAGTAAAATTATAAACTTTAAAAAGCATTTATTACATTTTTGCCAAATTCTATCCTATAAAGTCAATATTTATTTTCACTTGACAAGCTTATTTCATTAACTTAAGGGATGATATTTAGCATAAATTTTTTAATTTTTAATTTGAAGTATAATGTTTTAATTTTTTTTTTAATTTCATGAATGATCCCATCTTCAACAATCAACCTAGCTTATGTATCCACGAGCTGATGCACTGTACATCTTTTTTAACAACATATGTAATTCTCCAGCGATAACTGCATAAAGCTTGAACCCACATCCATAGCAGCATAAGAGTAGGGTTAAGTGTTGTGGGATCTGAGGATATGTTGGAACGGGAGCTTTCGCACGTGCATGTCATGACTTATGATTGCCAGCAACTCGATCGCAAGAAGTTGTAAATATGATCATCAGAGAAACTGAAGCTCATCCACGATATTACGCATATTTACTTAATTAAGGGCTTGAATGTTATTCTGGATCATCCTTAGAAGAAAGCCAGTGAATATTCTAATTAGCTATCAAGATCTGCTAAAAAATTCGATGATTTTTTGGTCGGAAAGAGAAAATCAATAAAACTCAAATGAAAAAGCTTAACCCGAACAACAACACCAAGTCCAGATTCGATATTAATACCCTGTATTTAATTGATTGATTTCTCTATAAGATCTATGGGTTTATTAACTAGGGAAAATTTCAGTGAGGAGAACTCCTCTACTAAATTTAATTTCAGTCAAAATTTTTAAAATTTTAAATTTTTATTGTACACGTGAGAGATTAAAATGAAATTATAAAAAACTGGCTAAAATGACTTTATTATTCATTGTGAAGCTATATGCATGACCAATTTATATATGAAAACGAACAATTGATATATATAAAATAAATAATTGATATGGATAAAGTTTATAACGTTAACAACACAATATCACTATGAATATAAACAAATGAAGCGAAGCACAAAAACAACTCGTGTAAAAAAAATTAACAATTGATGTATAGAAAATTAACAACTATTGCCACGCCGGAACATGACTTTTTCAAAAAAAAAGTCCATAAATGTAAGAAAATGAAAGTTGTCACTAAAGTTTTAAAGAAACTTTGGAAAATCATATAATGAAAGAGGATAGTCTGTGAAAAGGATTTAGAAGTTGATTATGCATGAGAAAGATATTAGGCATCTCACAACACTTGTTCATAAGAACAGTTATCCTAAATTGATTGCATAAAATTAATTAGACTTTTAATAATATCTTAATTGCCCTTTATAATCACATGTAAAAATAAAGATAACAAGAAATTAATAAAAAAATTATTTACTTACATGGAAGAACTTAGCTTAGGGCTTATGTATTCTATGATGAGGACTAAAATCCATGTAGTTCAAGATATTATTATTTTAGGTTTTCTCTAATTTTTTTATGAAAAGAATTTTTTTAAATTCACCTTTATTATTATCATTGTACAAAAACTTAACTAGCATTAAAACCTAATATGATTTAGTATTATTCATAGTCCACTGGTTGATGTTTTAAGTGCACACAGTGATTTAATATCACTCATGACAGACCCTAAGAAACTTTTTAAAGTGAATTTTTTTAAAATAATTTAATTATGAAATTGTAATACAAAATTTGATACCTACGATGACTTAGTGTCATTCATCGTATCTTAATTTAATATTTTTTGAAATCCATGATAATTTAGTATCACTTATGATATAGTCTAAAATATGCCAATAATTTTATTATTTTTTTACCTATGATGACTTAATATCATTCATAATATCTCATTTGATGCTTGTAGAAATCACAGTGACTTAGTATTAGTCATGATATAGCCTAAAATATATCGATAAATTTTATCATTTCTAAAAGTAATGCACAAAGAGATTTATATATATTTGATATTTGCGATGATTTAGTATTACTCATGAAAAACTTGAAAGCTAAGGGAATCTGGATTAATATTTTATTTAATTATTTATTTATGTATTCATAAGATGATTGAAAATGAATCTCAAAAGAATTCAACATATTTTAGAATATTCACTGAAAGAAAATAAATAATAAAAAAAAGAAAGGAAACAAATTAAACTACAATTGCCTCACAAGCAAATTCACGAGCGCGCATTAATTCAACTGTCATAGGTGTATAAGCTTACTGTGCGTACTGCGTACATACCAGCCAAATCCAAGTTCGATTTCCACTTTTCTTCTTTCATTGCAAATTAAAGTAAATAATATATGAAAGCCCAGGACTGAGAAACTATATTATCAAAACTCATATTTATTCCATACATGAAAAAAGAAGAAGAAGAAGAAGAAAAGAAAGGCATACTGTGCTCATGAATCTCTTCAAGCATATATGAATATTATTCATCTAAGAAAGTGTGTTGGATGAACTGGATTGCAATCATAATATCAACGGGTTAGAGCAAAATGAAGTTGGGGACGCAATGCTCCGACAACAATCATAAGACTCTATAAGATTCAATACCCAATGAAAACATATAATCCATGTATAGTGTGAGAAGCAGGTAAAAGTGAATGATAGAAGAAAGCTCTTACAATGATGTATACCCCAATGGTTTCTACCTACCTCTCTCCTTTCACTGTCTCTCCAAATTTTCCTACCCGTCTCGCTGCCTCTCTCTCCAAATTTTTTTTCCCTCCTTGTGGCCTCTTTCTCTCTCTCTGTCCTACTAATATTTTAGATCTTAGCTTTTTCTTCTTAATAATAGAATTAATCATATCAAATCAAATTCTATTTTAAATTTTTCTTCATTATTTTAGATTTTTCAAATTCACATCAAAGGCATTTAATTTAATAGAAATAAAATTGAGGGGATTTGGGAGTCAATTAAAAAAAGATAAAAGTTCTTTTAAAATTATGAAGATATTTTTTTATTTTTTAATTGTTTTTGATAAAACCTATTTTTCATTTATTTTATTTTATTTATTTAAGTTACTTAATTTTATTGGGTTTTTATTTATTTCTAATTTACATTTAGTAGCCCAAACAAAATACAATGTTCACAAATGATGTAAGTGGAAATGAGAGATGC